TCTCCAGCCAAGAATCAGCTTTTGCTTATGTAGAAACTCAACTTTTGTTTTCATTTCATTCAATATATACTCTTTGTTTTCATCTTTTAGCATCTTTGGGTACTTCCTTTTCTTCACGTCTTAAGTAAAGCTTGTAGCTCAGTCGTTGGCATGCTGTGTAGAAATGTACTTGAGTCTGTCCTTTCCTTTAAGTTATCCATCGTTTGCAGTCCTTAAATTGTTGATGTTTTTCAAGTTTTAAAATGGGTTTTTAGGAATTCTTTTTATTGGTGATAATCTCATTGAAGTCCCTGTTGGCTGGGTATGGTCAATGCTATGGATCATTTGGGACTGATGAACCTTTCCTTGTGGCCCAGTGTGCGGTCAATGTTTGTAAGAACTTTCCAGAATGTTTGCTGGGTGTGTCCACTTTGCATTCTCTGGGTCCTGGCTTCCATGCCCTCTTGCTAATATTGGGGGGAGATGACCTTAAGAATGTGCTCAGAGCTTGTGGGCACATAGATCCATTCTCATTACTGATTTAAAAGTCCAGTGTTGTAGGACTGGACTTCTAACCACAGGTCAGCGGTTCAGACCCACCAGCTGTAGCTTGGGAGCCCTGTGAGTTGGCGTTGCCTCAGCGACACTGCAGAATCACAGCAGTAACCGTACTGTTAACCATGTCCTCTCTGCCTCCTTTCCGGGTCCGGGGTTTCAGCCTCTGTCATCTCACTTTCTGTCAGGTACATTATTATGGGGATTTTTAAGGCGTAGGAAATGGAAATACATAGTTGCTGTCTGGACGTCGCCTGACCTGGCTTTGAAGTTGACTTGAGAGAAAATCCATTTTTTACTATATTAACAGGCTCAGGCGATGCATTCTAGAATAAATGTGTGACTCAGGTAGGCTTTCAGCCTTTTCTTCGGTGCCCTGACGCCCCTGCGCACTTCAGAGAAGACACAGGCTTTGTTCATCGTTCAGTTGTTGCTGGGGTCTGCCTTTTTTTTTTAAGCCTTCTTCAGGTTTATAAAAAAGTTTTGAAAACAACCAAAACAGAGCTGTTTTATTTCAGCTTAAAAAAAAAAAAACAACTTGCTTCCTAAGGTTATATTTTATCAAGTTACCTGAGGGGAAACTCCATTGTCTTCCAGTTCCATCCCCCTTACTCCCAGTGAACTTTTTGAAACCATGGAGTATTTTTCATTTTGGGTTATTATCAAGGTTGATATGAATCAAGGTTATTATCAAGGTTTACAGCGTGCCTCTGGCTCCCCGGCCCTCCCCCAGGTGTGCCCCCTTTCCTCACTGGTAAAGCGTGTGGATGGCTCTTGTCACAGAACCAGCACAGACACCGCTGAGGGGAGGGCCTCGCTTGGTCGGGGCTGTGTGCTACGCAAGCTTTAAGTTTTAGGGAACATGCCTAAGTCCCTTAAAGGATAAAACCATTAAGAAGAAGCTGACATGTGTTTAGTTTAAATGTTAAAAAGCAGTCATTTGTTGCTTACCGTCTAAAACATTCTGTGACATAGGACACTATGTGATTTGTTGTTGTTGTCAGGTGCCATCAAATCGGTACCAACCCATAACGACCTTATGCACAGCAGAACAAAACACTGCCTGGGCCAACCTCGCTATTTTTGCCACGCTTGAGTCCATCGATGCTGCCATTTGGCCAATCCATCTCGTTGGGGGTCTTCCTCTTTTTCTCTGACCTTCCACCTTACCAAACATGATATCCTTCTCCAGCAACTGCTTCCTCCTGACAATATGTCTGAAGTACGAGAGACAAAGCTTAGCCATCCTGGCCTCCAAGGAGCACTCTGGCTGCACTTTTTCCAAAACAGATCTATTGGTTCTTTTGGCAGTCCATGGCACTTTCAGTATTCTCCTCCAACACCACAACTCAAAAGCATCAATTCTACGACCATCCTTATTCACTGTCCAGCTTTCGCATGCATATGAGGTTATTGAAAATACCATGGCTTGGGTCAGGAGCACCTTAGTTCTCAAGCTGACATCTTTGCTCTTCAACGCTTTAAAAAGGTCTTGTGCACCTACACCTATGGATGCAGTAGCTCAAAAGAGGGAACAAATCCTTACAGCAATTATCATTCCCACCCCTTCCATACACAGAGTAGACAGAGATAGGCAACTTGGACATTGGCTACCCAAAATGTGTGTGTGGGGAGGCCTACAAAGGCAAGAAGTGACTAGCTTACAAGCTTTCAAGAGGGAACCTGGATTCAGAGGGCCCTGGAGGAAGATAGAATCTCCACTGAGTAGTATCCAATCTGTCTAGGTGGGGCTGATGAAATGAAATGTGCATAGATCTCTTGTGATACAATAGTGAATAATTGTTATCAGGACTACTTGTGAAGGTTGGAATTGTAAAGGTAGATGTTTTCTAGCAAGGAGGGGAGTGATTAACTTTTCAGCCTAGGAGTGGAGGTCCCTGGGACCATCAAGGGAGAAGAGTGGAGAGCAAGACCCTACCCAGAGAAGCAGTGATGCCTGAGATGGAGGCAGAGATGATGACGTGGAGAGATGGAGCTGTTGGGGATTTTAGACACCGAGGGAGAGGGGCTGTGTGCTGATGACCGTAGGGCAGGCTTGTAGTGTATATCCTTTGGTTGGTTGATGATGCATGGAGGATACTGTAACCATAGCAATGAAATTATATGTGATAGAATGAATGTAAAACTAATATTCTCCCATGTAAACTATCACATAATTCACAATAAAACATTTAAAAAACAAACAAACATTAGAACAAAAAAATCCCCAAAAAACAAAACAAAACATAAAAAGGTCTTGTGCAACACATTTGCCTAATGTAATATGTCGTCTGATCTCTTAACTGCTGCTTCTGTGAGTGTTAATAGTTGATCCAAGAAGAATGAAGTCCTTGACAACTTCGATCTCTTCTCCATTGATAAGAATGTGGTTTATTGGTCCAGTGGTGAGGATTTTTATGTGGTTTAGACGTGTGCAAACACACTGTGGTAGTGTGGCCCTGCTTTCTCTCAAGCATCTTGAACAAGTGTCGTGCCTTATAGCTGTGTTTGTCGAGTGCTGATGGGGACACATTTGTGTTTTGTCCTCTGTGCGCGTTGTCTTAGTTCTCAGCACTGATAAAACGGAAATACT